TTTTTAGGTTACGTAGTAAAAATTTATTTTCATGCCTGCATTTTGAGATGAGCTCGGATCTTTTATTTAATAATTTATTTTGGTGGGGGAAAGTAATGATAGCTATTTTTTCCTCCAAGCAAAGTTTGCAAGTTTTTTGATTGGTTGTTGTAGGCTGATGACTTTTTCCTTATCTTCCAAGATATTTTTGGTGTGATGTGCGTTTTGTTTTTTATTTCCCAGATATACTTAGAAAGCATAGTACTGTTCGCATATTTACTATTTGTGAACGATATTTTGTGTGTATAATTTCTTTTGCTTCAGGGTCCTTCAGTTACTCCTATGTATACTTTTTTTCTTCATTATCTGGTGATTTTATCGTAGCTTGGTATATTACGTTGTTTTTGTAAACAATTTCCGTTTAAGGGACATTCGTTCTTTATTCTGCAGTTGCACGTGGGTTTAATTTGTTCGTGTGGTTTGTTGGTAATATATATATGTGTGTGTGTGTGTGTGTGTGTGTGTGTGTGTGTACTTGGTGATTACTGAAACTAATACAAATTAACAGTTTAAAAATATTATTGCATACATGCATTTCTTAATATTTATATAAAAACCTTATGACAAAATGTGTATGTAACAAAAACGTCCGTATAAATTTTGTTCATGTCTTGTGGCTCTTAAACATCAGAATTTTATCATATGTGACTCTCACATTAAGCAAGTTTGGCAACCTCTGTTTTATACAATAAAACTAACATGGACAAATCGACAATAAATATATATATATATATATATATATATATTGTGAACAGTCTAAATAACTGCATATATGAATAAATATTATTGCATACGTTCATTTTTTTAATATTTATATAAAAACCTTGTAACAAAATGTGTATGTAACAAAAACGTCTGTATAAATTTTGTACATGTCTTGTGGCTCTTAAACATTGGAAGTTTATCATATGTGGCCCTCACATTAAGCAAGTTTGGCCACACCTGTTTTATATAGTTATGGAAAAACGAGGTACTTCTGTTATTGTACAACAGCTTCAAGGTCAACCCAAGATGAGAAATGTTTTAATGTTGATATGCTTTATAGTACTGACCACACCACAGAAGACCAAACTCTGATCATCTTGACTCCTCACAGTGAACATATTGATCCTGATCCCATGTCACGTGATCCTTCTCCTACAACACACACTCCAATCAACATATAGGAAAGTAACGCTATTTCCAGCAGAATTATATACCCACATACATACCATATTAAAACTGTATTTTCTACCTAATTACAAACAATATTTACAAACACACCAAAAAGATATCACAACATACACCCTTTAAATCGAAATGTCTATTGGTTAGAAATTAACATCACCATGTGAAATATATGATCAATCAGAGAAAACTAAAGTCCTATTTTTCTCAAACCCAACTTTCGGTAATATATTTTTTTAATAAAACCTTCCAGATTCCGACTTTCAAAGAGCAGAAATGCAACTGTCTCCAAGCTGGTCAAACAAACAAGACGTGACTACATAGCTTTTTCCTTCCCCAGCAGTGCGTGCTGAAAGAAACGTGAGTCGGCGACTTCAAACGAATCCTCTCCAACAATAAAGCAGAGACGGTCAGTGAATCTTGGCTGACGATCAGTCTTTTCTCAACCACATCTTTTTTGTGAACCATAACTTTTTCTGTGTACCAACTACCCAAAGATTTTAACTCAACTAAAGACTATATTTACTCCTTTTTAACTCTTTTGAATTGATGTACTTATGTTTGTAAATACAAACTATTTAACAGGCATGAGACCATGTTTTCCTTATTTTTATTTTTTTTTATTGATTAGAATTCGGACGTTCAGATTTTCAATATATATATATATATATGGAAGACAGAATTTCCTACAAACACACTTATATTGACTTCAGACATCGACACTTCAATCAAAACATCTAGAGTTAGATCTGCACCCGTATGGCAGAAGGATTTCATGTCTGAAGAGACTTTCTAATTATTTTTGTTTTTAATCATTTCACCCCAAGCAAGGTGTTAATGCCGCTAAAAAAACGAAAGGTGTTGTAACTGGAAGTGAAAGAGAATGAAAAAGACTTTAAGAAGCCGAAAACTTATTCTTAAACAGGAAACAAGGGATAAAGCGCTACTCCTGTTCAATAGACAGAGGAGGATAGTAAACCGGGCGAGAGTCGAACCAGTCGAACTTGACGTCGCGAGATTAGAGGACTTCCGTAGAGAAAACGAGAAGGAGAAAAAAATAAAGAAAAAAGAACATGGCGGACATGACTGCACATATTATTTAGTGTATATTGCTCTAAATAAAATCAATTGTTGAACGTCAACCTGTTGTTGTTCATCACAAGGTCATAAAACTTACATGTCAGTAAAATGGAAAACCTATTTAAACAAACAAGCCTTTTAATAGCAGATTTGACTGGCTGTCACGAAACTTGATAGATGAATTGATGACTATATCAGGCATGTCAATAAAACTAAAAAATGGATATTAATTGTCTGTTGAATTAATAATCAGCAGACAATTAGCAGAGCTGTGCACAGAATTTGTTCAAGATATGAGCCTTCGCTTATTTTTGTCTTGAAGGTATTATTAAAACTTCAAAGACCTTGCTTGCAGCATAATATCCTTACCGTTGTACTTGTAATTATCGTAATGAAGTCTTATTCAAGAGAGCAATTACTCTTGACTTTAGAGGTCACTTCATTTTAAAAATTTGGCATTACTGGTCCACTCATAAAAAAGGGAAACTCTATTTAGAAAATAATTTTTTGTAGATTAGCATATGCCATTTATGCAAACCTTTGTTAAGCCCCGACACTTATCAGAATCGAAAAACATCAAGATGCTATCAATTTAAATGGCGGTCCCTTTATAAAATCGATTTTTTTAATGATAGTGTCAACAGTCAACAAATCAATCTCTGACTTTTAAGAAGAGTTATTGAATTGACTTCAGGTTCTATTTAATTTAATTATTAGCCGTTATTTGCAAATGTCATGCTTTAAAAGGTGCTAAAACATAATTGACAGCTGTATATTTTAAAAATTTTCTGAATTTTTAAAGTTTATTTTTTAAAAAACTTATTTTTGTAATGGATTTTTTTCGGAACCACAAATATTTGAGGTGAATAATTATTTATTTTAAATTAAGAATTAATTTAAAAATGCATATGCTCAGTTTGTTGGATATTTAAGAAAAATCTTTTTGTAACGCCACGTCAAAAAACTCTTTTCGTACGCAAAACAACAAGCACAATAACTCTAAAAAATCCGGAGTCGTTTTGTAGGGACGGCCACTAGCACGTTAAAAACATGGGTACCCTGATAAAAAAAAAAGGTTCGAAAATTGATAAAACAATTTTTTAACGTCTAAATGTTTACGTTATTGTTAAGAAGAAAGGCTAAAGTATTTTCTGAATATTTTTTCAGATTTTTTAATCCTTTCTATCCTGTTAATAAATTGATTCAAATATCTTGTTTTTTTTTAGTCAATGAAATTTACTAGAAAATCAAGCCAATCGGTCATTTTTTTTCTGACTTAAACAAAATTCAAAATTATCATTTGTAAAATATTTTAAAAAATGAATTATAATTTTTTCAGGCGTTTTTTTTAAGGATAATTAGAAAATTGAATGCATACTTAATGTAATTTGAAAGAACAGTTACCTTTTCTTAGTTTTCTACCAGAAAACTTTTTAAGAGACATCTCCAATCGTGGTAGTAACCGGTTTTGACGAGTGCGAATTGATGTAAGATTAAGTAAGAAGACCCTCTTTCTAAATCGATAACAAACCAATATTTTCCCTTTCTGACAAGTTGTCGCAGCCTGGGAAAGGTTTCTAAAAGAACTCTAATCTACAAAAAAAATAAATTCCCGAGGTTAAAAAAGTTTTTTTTCCTCATTCTGTATTTTTGGCTTTCGAATAAATGAACGGAGGGATAGGCTATTAAAATTTAGAAAATTCAGAGGCCCTCCGCACTTTATTGGAAGCCTTATTGTTTAAGCAACAGTGAGTTAAATAAAGGAAACTAGTTTATTAAAAATTAGTAGTTTTTTCCACCTTTTTTTTTTCTATTATTAAAAATTTAAAATTAAGATAAAAATGATTCCTGGAAAAACAATCAGACGTTTAGCGACAACTTAAATTTGTTTCGTGGAATGCTGGGAATGTGAATGGTACTTTTAACTTAAAGACTTCGGCACTTCAAGACTTAAGAAGAAGAAGAAGAAGAAGAAGAAGAATAAATAAAATTTATTTATTATTCTTCTTCTTCTTCAATCTAAAACACGTGCTACCGACGAGTTGGAAAAAAACAATTTTTATTTTATTATGATTCAGGCAATTCCTAGACGTTTTTTACGCTTTTCTTTTACAGACAATTATTACAAGATTTGATTAGCAAAAAACAAAGTTAACATTGAAAAAAAAAGTTCTGCTTTTTTATGCCCTGACGAAAGGACCATAAGAAAAGTTAAAGTAGTAAGTAACGCTAAAAACAATGAACAGTTATTTTTTTTTAAGTGGCAACAACATTGATAAAAGTTAATGTTCAACTTTAATCTCTCTCTCTCTCTCTTTTTTTTTTTTTTTTTGAGAGATGGAAACCAAAAGGAGTGGAAATTTAATGATAGGAGTAAGTAAAAAAAATGCATTTTTCTACTTTGTCATTCAGAGGATTGTCAGAAATATATTCCAAGTAGATTTAAAAAACAAAAACGTAATGATCTCTTGACTCCTGACAATCTTAAAGCAGACTTTGATATCGTCTCAGTTACAGAGAGCCGCGTGATCAGTGGTGCCTATCGTCTCTTTGTTAATGTCAAAAGGATTTTTCTTTTTTTTTTAGTTGACAAATTCAGCTTACTCGGCAAAGTGAAAAATGAAATAACATTCAACAACTTTTTCTGTTTTTCTCTTTTTTTTTGTTTTTATCTACTCAACTGGTATATTTTATTCAGAATGAAAAAAACAGAAATGAATACAAGAAATTTATTGGTTTCAATTATACTCATTGCTTTTCAATGTCGGAATAATGCACTTTTGCTCGGAGTTCAACAAAAAGCCGTGTTTAATAAAAACTTAACAAGTCGAAGTTTTGCTGTGGGTGACACTCTGATTTCACGGACCCGACCTACTTTACCACCAGGTGAGTTTTTGTTTTTGTTTTTTTTTTTAAAAAAAGGGAATTTTAAAAAAATTCCATACAATGACATAAAAGGTTATTTTTTTTCTTTTTTTAATCAGGGATACGATTAAGTATTCTTAATTAAGGTACTCAGTTAATAATAAATACTCAACATTGTTTTTTTTTTTTTTGTGAACCTAATAATTTACGTCCACAAAAAAAAAAACTATTAAAAAAAGTAAAACTTTTTTTTGTTTTAAAATACATTCTGGTCTGTTCATTAAATAAGAAGAATCATAAGAGGAAAAAATAGATATTTTCTTTATATATAAATTGGCTAAAGTAAACCGTGAAAAACGAAATTCAATATGGTATTTTTTTCTTTTATAAACTAAAAACAGTGCAACAGTTAAAAAAAAACCCAAAAAAACCACGATGGTCCCAACTCCCAAAAGACTTTGTCATTTCATTTTTTTTTTTTAAAGAATGAATTTAAATTAAGAGAATAAGAGAATTTTAATTAAAAAATAAATTAGAAACTAAAAAAAAAAAACCTAAAATTAAAAGTATAACCCCCCCTTTATTTTTGCGTGCATTTATTTATTTTAAAAAATAAATTTAAATTTCTTTTAATTATCGAAAATGAGCTTACACATCCGGGTGTGGTAATTATTTTTTTAATTTTCTCTTGAGTATAACAGTAATACATTTTTAATTTTATTTTTCCCTTTATAAACTTTTTACAGTTTACTTATCTTCCTCACTTTTTGTTTATTATTTTATGACGCTACTGAACTAAAAACTGCATGTTTTGTTTATAAAATACCGCGAGAAATGTCAACTTCTCTTCATTGCAACTTAAACACAAACACACTGATCAACAAAAAAAGAATTTCAAAATCCACGTCTAATTATTATCTTGATTGTTTGTTTTGGTTTACCATTTTGTGTAATAATTCCATATTTTTTTCCCTTTTCCGAAGACTAAAAAAGTCACATAGTAAGTTTTGGTAGAACTGTAGTGTAGTTTATTCACGCGGCAAACTCTCTAGGCATTTTGTTTTTTTGGGTGACAACCTTGCTCCGAGTACTGTAATTGAATATGAATATTGTGTTTATGTAATTGTTAAACCTTGTAAACTCCTCTGTGGAGTAAAGGCTCACAGCCCCACCCTGCAAGGTGTTTTAGTGCTAAGGGTCTCGTGAGGAATCTATAATACAAACAGAGCCCACTACTCATTTTCATAAAGGTAGTATTCATTAAGATACAAATTTTATATAACTAAATTAGGTACAATAAATGAAATGTATCTTAAACAATAGGTGAACAATTCAACTAGAAAAATTGAAAATAAATACAATAACAATGTATCTAGAAAAACAATTTAGAAACGTCATCATATACATCAATGTTTTATTTTTTTGCGGCAATTTTTAACACTTGTTAAAAAGGTGAATAATTTTTTAACACATTCAATTCAACATTATGGATAAAAAATAAAAATAGTCAATTTTTAGTGTTTTTTTTTTTTTTTTTCCCCGAGACTTAACATGGGCAAAACAAATTCACGGATTTGGACGAGAAAAAAAAAAGAATGACGTCATAATCCGAAAATTTTTTTCTTTCATCCAAGTTGTGCTTTTAATTTGTAAAGTATATAGAGATATAGATGGAAATAAGCAAATGTTAAGATAGTGAGGGTCACAAAGCACTGAACGCCCCCCCCCCATTAGTCAAGTCCCTACCCACTGACCTGGTTGTTGCTATGGTTTCAATAGTAAATACTAGTTTTTATTTTTTTTTTTTTTTATGGAGTGAAGTTGCTATACCCCCTATTCAATTGGTTTTGAATTCAGTTGTACTTTTCCTAGACTGGCTACCAACCAAAGCTAGAATACCCAGTTTGTTCTACTGCAGCATGGTGTCTATAGATTCATGGTTTTCCCCGGAAGTATTTATGCAAAAAGTTCAAATTTTTTTCAAATTCAGCCTCGGTTGGAATTTGAACTCCACACACCAATTCCACTTTCCATGCTAGTAACCAATACACTACACACACATCCGCTGAAAATATTTGGCTAGTGTAAGATTTAATTAACTTTTTTTTTTTCCTACCAAGGTAGTACATTGCAGTTTTAAAATAACCACTTGACTACCATTTGCCAGGCACACTTAAATTTTTCTTTATTTTTAAAGAATGAATTAATAAATTTCCTTTTCTTTTAGGGCTGGGTTTTTATTCGAGCTTGGTATTAATTTTGTTGTTCAAGAAATTTAAATCAATTGTTAGGGTTTCCTAAGTGTGCCCTGTAAATGCTAATCACACCAAAATAACGTTTATTATTCATCAAAATAAAATTCACTATGCATTGTTGTGAACAATTTAATAAGTTTATTTTATAGCATTGAGTCATGGAACCAATCAAATCTTTGAGTTTTGAGCTCTGCTACTTGGTTGTGGAGATGTTTCTCTTGAAGGCTTGAAAAAAAAAAAAAAAATTTATCATCTGCCAGACAATAGGTCTGCTCTGTTTGCAAAAGAAATCCATATTTCACAGTTAATTAAAAATTAAGTAAAACTATCCAATCTCTAAAAAAACGTTTTCTAATAATGCGATGGTCACAGATTCAATGTTTTTCATAGAAAATCCTAGTATCCCATAAAACCTGACTTTGTGAAGAAAGACTTTAAGGGTATTTTTAAAGTTTGCACCCCCTGCTATGTACCTTGAGCGCCTTGATAAAATCTAAAGAAGCAAAATTATTTGTCTTCATCTGGCAGCTTGACTTCAGTCATTTTCCCACTGCCATAAAGTTGCCTCCTTTTGCCTTTTCTGTAAATACTTTCATGGTAATCAGATGAGCTCTTTGTTAAATTGATGAATTTAAGTGCAGTGCTAGACTATCATCAAGATCTCATCAATTTACAGTTGAGTTGGCTAGATGCAATCATAAATTCTATGCTAACAGTTTTTTTTCTCACACTTCTTGTTTGTGGAACTCCCTTCTGGCCTTATGTTTTCCAGCCAACTTTATTCTGCAAAAATTTAAATGCAGTGTCAATCGCTATCTACTGTCCTCTTGATTTCTCTTTCCTCTTCCTGATTATTATTCATGTTTCTGTTCGTAATTCTTCCATACTCAGTAACTCCTTGTGTCTTAGTGGCTTTACTGCCTTGCATGGAGTGATACTGATTAAAACAATTACAATATTAGTGTACTGTAATATTTAAACCAAAAACAAAATAGCCTTCATCAAATTCTGTGATTTTTAACTATTTTGTGATCAGAGTACAAAATATAAATAAGGGAGAAATTAAACTTTACTCCAAAAGAAATATTAAACAAGTTCAAAGATCTTAATTTTCAACTATTTTGTTATTTCAAAGACTCAAAAGGTCAAGTTTAAATCTAGTTAAATATTACGTTATCTGTTTTGTAAACTGCTTGTTTCAGAAAGCCGTGAGGAACAATCTGCTTTGTATCGCAAAAAATAAATGAACCTCCATTTTATGTTCACATGATTTCTGTTTGGTCTTTTAATAAACCAGAGTTGATGATAGTAAAAATAACAATTGTCTGTTAGTAAAACACACACACACACACACACACACACACACACACACACACACGCTTCGTTGCAACTGCATCTCAACTGGTGAGATGCAGTCACATCAAAACAAGAATGCATCTTTGTAGTGAGCATGTTGTTTTTGTCCACATGTAAAAATTATAATAAATAATTATTGCTCTACTCTTTGTATTGAACCCTCTTTTGAATTAATGCTGTGAACATTAGAATTTATATTATTTTCGTTCTCTTTACATTCGCATATATATATATATATATATATATATATATATATATGAAAAAATTTGCATCAAAGACATCAATTGTACAAATACACTGAAAAAAGATAAGAAATATATTTTAGGAGAGCACATAAAGTTCATTATTTCTTATAAATATTGGGTGTAACAGAAAAATTGTCTAATTGTTAGATTAAGCTTTTTGAATGATTGTATCTTAGAAATGATTAAAGATATCTTACTGGAGTTCTCCAGGGTTTTTATAACACTATTGGACTCTACTTTGAGCAATAAGAATATATAATTACTCTCCAAGGTTAACAGAAGAATCATGATGAAATTGATCATAAATGAAAATGACATGTTCATCATTAATTAATAAAAGCTAAGAATCAGAAGTTTGTGAAGGATTGAAATTATGTTAATATATATATATTATTCCAGAATCATTTTCCAACTTATTCAAAATGATCTTCACCCTCTCTAACCTTCTAACTTTCTGTCCTGGAGTAACAAGGTGCCTTGCATGTTTCATGTATGATTTCATTTTCAAGTCTTTTTTCCCCTGCTCTTTAGGCTGTCATAGTTGAAACTCCTCTCTCATGTGCCAAATGTCATCTGAATTGAGTTGGATATTTTCTAACTGATCTCTTTAGCTCTAAGTTGAAATGATGATCCCTCTTGCTGTTGTGACCTCCTGATCCAGTTTTCCTCTCTACTGTTCCCTCTATTTTAAAACTTATTCACCATACTCTTGATGATTCTTGAATGGACTTTGAAGATGGAAGCCAGTGTATGAATGTTGGTACCATTTACTGAAGGCCTGAATGATCTTTTTCCTCTCACTATTGCTCATTTGGGAAGACAGTGGGTCTATTAAACATTTTGCGGGATGGTCAATTATGTTGTAACATGATTAAGATAATTTTGCTGTTACACCTGGTACACACGCGCGCGCACTACACACATATATATATATATTTCGAAGTTAACTCCTCATTAATTGTCCAAATTATTCACTAGGGGTCGCTCTCCCTACACTATAAATACTGGGCGACTTCTTGCCTCGTTCTCTTTTCTACTTTGCATTTCATCGGACACATTTAAAAATGTGATCTCTCACAGAGCTCTGTGTTTTGCCCATTTGTGGGAAAACGCCATGAAACATATACACATACATACGAACATTCACCAATATACAAACTCTTTA